CCTAAACTCAGACTCCCCTTTTTGCTGGATTCCAGAGGTTTGCACTTGCAAAGCCAAATTTGAATTACAGATCTGTAGTACAAGAATGATCTTTATTACTCTTCTTGCTGTTGGACTGTGTGTTTTGTATCTGTTTGTGTTATTACAGCAGGTTTAGAGATCCTCAGCCTAGCAACATTTACCTCAATCTGTGTAGCTCTCCAGGCATTAGTTTAGGAAATTATTTATGTGATTAGATGGCAGGTTATTGCTTAAACTTGTAATTAGTCCATTGAGAAGGTCTTCCAAGCTTTTTCAGTTGTTTCCTTTTCTTTTTTTTTCTTTTTGGTTTTTGTTTTTACAGGTTAGCCTTGAAGTCTCTTTTAAAATTCTTCTTAAAATTCTAATTCTTCATCAGCTTCACCATAGCTTGATGATGACCATTCATATACATTTTCAGAAAAAAAATTACTCATCATAAGAAGTTACACGGTACTAATTCTTACAGCTTTCATTTTTGGCTGAAAACAGATAAGAAAGCAATTGTAAATGATCTGTTTGGTCATTTTATGATTGTCTACTACAGAGAGATAGCTAGATAGCTGAAATAACTGCCTAAAGGGTCTGTGATATCAGTCATACACAGAAAAAAAATGCAAGGGGTAGGCTGTAATGGTATTGCATGAGTCACTTGTCTTAACTTCAATAAGTATTAAGCTTCAGTCCTTCATATCAAGTTCTGGCCATGAGTACTTGTCTTGTAATTGTCGGTTTGTTGTGACAACTTGAGACTTATCATAAGCATGTTGTACAAATTTTGCTTGCAATTTCTCTAGTACACATTCACAATTCCTTGAAATTCCATATAACTTGAAGTGATATTTCATTACGTATCTGTCTTGGGGGTGAAGCTCATTCTGAAGGTTGAAATATGGTATTAGAATAGCATCCATGCATCTCGAATTCCTGAATCACTTTCTAGATAGGAAGATATGTAATTTCTGTTAAATCAGACACTGCAAGTAAACAGTTTCAAATTTTTCTCCTGTAATTGCATATTTATAACCCATGCAGCAACTTCCATATAATCATCTAGATAAGCACCTAAAAAAGAGCAGATGAGATAAGCTATCAGCTCCTGTGGTTTTGATTTGACTAAACTGTGTCATATCAAAATGAAAGTAATCTTGTGAGCTATCTGCAGACAGTTCCTGCTCCTCTAAGGTTTACAGAACTGCCAGGAGGTGTGATCTGTATGCAGTTACAGTGCAATGCCTCAGAGGCAGGTTCCCTACTCTTCTGTTGTGTATGCACAAAGAAATGTTTTCTTTCCAACATTTTTATGGCATCTTTTAAACTGTTCATGTTTCAAAGACAATGGTCTTCTCATAGTAATTGTCCCCATGGATTTGGGAAAGGGTGGCTCCATATCTGTAGTATGAAAAAATGATGGTCAGCATGGCTGAGGGAAGGGCTGCCTGGAGCTAGTTTGGAAGGTGACTGCATGATAAGCTCTCCATGCTGGGGGTATCACTGCTCACCTGTTGGGAGGGCAAATTGGACCTCAGGTTAGCTGCAAACAGGCTTATTAGATCAGCTGCAATGCCATAAAAAAGATCTGAGTGTTTATTTGGCTGCTGGAGGGCTAGGAGGGAGAAAAGGAAATAACCCTACATTGAGAGTATTTGGCCATTCCTGGTCTGAGACTAAAGTAATGACAAATGTGGTGAACTCTAAAGTCAACAGAATAAATTCACAGTCAAACCTTTCATTTTTTGAAAATTTGCAATGGTGAGATATGTCTAAGGTAAATTTGAGATTTTACAGTGCACTGTTATTAATAGTTCTGCATGTATTGCACAGTTAGGAATAAATTAGAAAATAATTTAGGTGTACATAAATAATGTACACCTTGATTTGAGACCTGAAAAATATGGTTGTGATTCCTTTTTTTTTTTTTCGGGGTGGGGGGGGGAAAGAGTGAGTTCTTCTACATATTCTATGACTTTTCCAATCCTAAAGAAGAGATGGCATGCTCATGAAAAGACTACTCTGTTCATCTGATTTAGTATTTACCAAAATTTAACTTTCACCCTCCTGTATTGACATGTTCAAGTGTAGCCTGTAGGGTTTGTTTTTTTCATCAGCTTCAGGAGACTTTCCAAATACAGTAACATCATTCAGATAATATTAGATTCTGAGCTTGTTATTAAGAATTATTAACATATTTGAAAAGCTCTGGATGTTGATTCAGGTCCATATGGCGTATGATTAAAAGAGAACAGTTCCATTAAGAGTAATAAATGCTACAAAACTCAAACTGTCTGGATACTTGGCAATAGACATTCTTTAAATCAAGAGTATAAAACACACTCTACAACTATGACAGCAGTATCTGCAAATGGTTAAATGTCAATCTAAATGACTTTGGTCTCCCTATGTCCACACAAAACCAAATAATCTGGTTTGTTTTCTGTCACCACTGTGCTGACACTAATTTAGAAAATGCAATTTCTCCATTAGTATCATTCTGGGATATTTTTTTAATTATCTTGTTACTCAGCATCTCCTGTTCAATTGTAGTGAATATAATTTCCATTGTAGAAGTGGCACATTAGATTGAATTGCCATGCTGTGAATAAATCATTCTGCACACATATGGCATTTCCATGTACCAGCTGATACTCCTTCTTTTGTAAGAGCTGAAACTGGAATTTTCACTGTAGCAGTGTTTCATAGTATTGAAGCAATGCATATTTATATGTATATATATATACTCGCATAAGTTGTCGAGTTCACAGATAAAAATAAAAATCAACAGTGCTTATCAAAAGTAATTTTTCTATGCATGAAACGACAAGCACAGTGTTCTTCAGGCAGCTCGCTAGATAATGTCAAGCCTCAAACTTCTATAACATTTCAGGTAAATGCATTCACTGGGTACTGCAGCTCAGAAACCAGCGTCCAATGTTATTTTAGTGTCATATGACCGTTCTACTGACACAAGTAACTGGACACAAATGCATCTATAATAAATAACTGCTTCCATCTGTGGTCAAAAAGTAACATCTGGCACCGTAACATCACATAAATTTTGGTTACGTAAAAATTCATTATATATTTTAATGTAACATCTTTCTGCAGTATTTGCAGGTTATCCAATCTGGTTTACAATGTGCTGTAAATATTTACACACACACATATATACATTTATATGTGCTACATATACTGAGCTTTTAGCCATAGTTCCAACAGCTGCAGTTCGAAGGCAGTTCACCATTTCTCAATTTTCATATTGCCAATTCAGTTAGAGAAGCAACAGTCACGATCTCCTGTAGCATCCAACTCATGCAGTAAATACTACCTATAATCAAAAGGAAATGCTTTTTTCCACAAGATGAACTTGACCTTTTTCTGCTGTGCTTCTAGACTTACACATGATTTTTAATTCCCTTAAAGCAGAACTGTACTGTTCTGTTGAGGCACTTGGTTTCCGTGTATGCTGGCAAACTGTATTGGATTCAGTTACAAGATTTATTGTAGAAAAAAATAAATTTCATTTAGATTGTAAAGATTCTTTTCTTTTTCCCCTCTCATAATGAAAGCATACAAATACATATCGGTTCTCTGCTCTGATACAGCAAACAGCACAAGTGGTTTCCTTTCTCCAGCAAAGGCAGTGCCACTGTCAGTATGCAATTCCCAACCATTTTCGTGTGAACAACAGAAGCAACTTTCACATCCAGATTGGATGGGGCTCTGAGCAACCTGGTCTAGTGAGAGGTGTCCCTGCCCATGGCAGGGTGGTTGGAGTTAGGTCATCTTTAAGGGTCTTTCCAACCCAAAAAATTCTACAACTCTATGAACTTACGAGCACATGGACTGTGTAGGAACGATGTAAATAAAATAAATGACAGCACAACACTGGTCTTGTTTATTCAACAGCTGAATTGAAATGATGTAATACTAAAAAGATTATTCCAGTTGTCCATAGAAATACCAAATGAAAGTCTAATCCTGACTGCAACAAGCAGTAGTACAAACCAACTGAACCAAACAAAAAATCCACAAAGTCAGATTAGCTTTAGGAGCTCATGGAACTTCTTTTTCCTGAAAAATGTCCTCCTCTGTCCTACACCAACCCTGCAACACCACAGGTCTCATGAGTAATAGAAGTTAATGTTATGCACATGAAGCAGCTACCTGTGAATAGACAGGAACTAATGCAGAATATTTATAAGACTTATAATATTTATAATATTTATAAGACTTATATTTATAAGACTTATAATAGCCAGTTATGATGAGAGTGACTGATAAAGCTGCCTGGGCTTTTTTATTTTGTTGGAGCTTCAATACTTAAAATAGCAGGGGTATTTCAAAGGCAGTTTTAATGAGGTACTTAATTATTACAGACTTAGGATTTCAGCATGGGGAACAAGATGTGAATAAAACCTGTATGGTTTGGAATAAAAATCTACTAAAGGTGAGGAAATGCAAAGGGGAAAAAATGGAACTAGGAAAGACATATAAAGGCTGAAAATAAAGTCAAAGAGGCAAAACATAGACAAAGAAATGATACTAATAGCAAGTATTTCCTTTCTAAATGTTACTAAGGTGACAAAGAAGGCATTCAGTAAATAAGAAAGGAATATGTAGCTGTTTCGATAACTGGATGATTGTAAAATTTTTACACAACCTCACTGTTGAACCTGAAACATTGCAGTTGCAACAATATTTTTCTCAAGAACATTTCTGAGGCATACTCAAATCCTCTGATCAGTACTATAGAGCCTGGAATCAAAACAAAATTTAGAAGCAGCTGTTTTATTGAATTTTGTTTTGCTAATGTTTTTGTTTAAGTGGGAGTGAATTTTGAAATATGGAAAGATGTTATGGTCATGAACTATCTTCCATGTATCATTTCCCCTTAAAACATAAGGATGGGGAGGAAGGGCAAAACCATCACAGACGATATGAGTGCTCTTTAATATTAAAGTGTAATGCTATCAGGTTGTTACTTCTGCTTCCTTCAGGGGCTGAAGGTTCTCAGGGTTGCCCCGGTCCCGTTCTTGACAGAACAGGTTGAGCATTGTCGTAGCTGGGTATGAGTTTCCCCCACCCCAAACTGCTTATGTGTGGGAAAAATAAGGTTTAATATTACCAAAGGAACGCGGCAAGGCGGAACACGGGTGCTGCTGAGAAAGGTACTAAGGAGGGATCAGGCACTGAATAGATGGCTACACAAAACCCTGAAAAATTTCGGACTCGTTTCAGTCCAAACAACAAAATACCAAATGTATTTCAATAATATTCTAAATGCACTTTAATATCCGGACGAGGGGAGTAAACGGGGGAAAAAAACCCTAATCACAATATCCTGCAAATCAGGAAGGTGTGCCAAGTCCCTTCGCTTCGCATTTCGTGGGCATCTTAATCCTGGGTCATCCAATTAAAGAAAACCTCCTTCGGCGGTTTTACGAGCGCAGCACATCAACTCCCTTTGTTTACACACTGGAACAAGATGTTCTTTCCTGTTCCGACAAGAGAAGGAGCTGAGGCGCTAACGCGGGATCGCTGCGAGCTGGCAGGGGCTGGGTTCGGTTCGGCACGTTTCGGCAGCGGCTCCAGACGGAGCGACGAGGGCACGGTCGGGCACCGCCGGGGCGGGGGGCTGCCCCAGCCGTAAGTAAGTGCCAGCGGGGAGGGCGCGCTCCGGGGCAGAGCCGGGCGGCACTTCTGGCTGGGTGTACGGCCGGCGGCGTGGCCTGAGCCGTGGGCAGGGCGCTGAGGGGGCCGAGGGGCCGCCCCGCCGCCACCACCCCCGCCCCGGCGGCGCCCCCAGAGCCGCGTCCCCGGGAGCCGCCCCGCCCGCCCGCCCGGCGCGGTGCACCACGGGAGTTGTAGTCGGGCGGCGCGGGCCGGCCCGCCATCGCCCTCCCCTGCCCGCCGCCCCCGGCCCGCGGCCGCTCTCGCGAGGCTTCGGGGGCCGGGCGCGCGCTGGGGCGGGGGCGCCGCCGCCGCCGCCGCCGGGGGATGTTGGGCGCAGGCGCGGTCCCCCCGCGTGACGTCAGAGCGCATTGTTGTGAGCGCCGCGGAGCATCCCTCAAGCTGTCACAGCTGTGCCGCCGCCGCGGGAGCCTCCCCGCACCTCCGCCCCCTCCGCAGCCTCCCCCGCCTCCGCCCCTCCCGCCCCGGGGCTCCACAGCTCCGATGTCACCGTATCATTGTCCGCGCGGAACCCCTCCGGGCGCCCCCTCCCCGCCCCCTCCCCGGTCCGCCCTCCCCCGGCCCCCACCCCCGAACCACCTCAATGAGATGCAAACATGAAAGACAAGAGGAAGAAGAAGGACCGCACCTGGGCCGAGGCTGCCCGCCTGGTAGGTGCCGCGGCGGCGGCAGCATTGTGTGTCTGCAGTACGTGTGTGTGTGTGTATTTATGTATGTGTGAGAGTGTGTGTGTGCGGTGCGAGCGCGTCCCGCCGCCGCCAGCCCGGCGCGCTGCCCGCCCCGCCGCTTTGTTGCCGGCGGTCGGGGCCGCTGGGGAGGGACGGGAGGGGGGAGAGAGAAAGAGAGTGTGTGTAAGCCAGACTGCGGGGAAGAGTGTGCGAGGGACTTCGAGCGAGAGGGAGGATGAGGGAGAGCGATCCGGGGTGTGTGTGCGGGGAGCGGGAAGGGGCGCGGGAGTGCCCGTGCGGGAGAGAGCGCGGTCGGCGGGAGGGAGCGGGTGCGAGTGCCGGGCTGAGCCCGGCTGGCGGTCCGTGCAGCCCGCGACTCTTCCTCCCGTCCCTGCCTGCCTGGAGAGGAGGAATAACTGCGTCCCTTCCGCGGTGTGTGCGTGAGGAAATTCCTCTGTTCTTTTCTTCTCTCTCTTTTTTTTTTTTTTTTTTTTTGAGTGTGTATGTGTTTGTGTGTGTGTGTGTGTATGTAAATGCCCAGGGATTGTGCTTATCTCTGCGAAGTTCGTGCATCAGATATCCCAAGGAAATCCCTCCTTTTAATGTAGAGAAAAGTGAAATAGCCGGGTATGGCGTTTTCATCCCTTTAGTGCGGACAGGAGGACCGGGGTGAGGGGCGTTAGAGAGAACTCTGTCCTGGGATTTCGCTTCACCCTCTCTACTTCTCCCACCGAGCCTGCAAATATCCAGGGCAATCAAACCCGCTTCTGAAAAGGCTCCGTGGCTCTAGAGAGCTAGTCCATTCCCACTTCATTAAGAAACTGTCTCCCCTACCCTACTGTATCTGTTTTCATGATTCTGTATTACTGTTTGCTAAGTGTAACAGAGCACATTGTTTATGTTGTTTTTCCGTTTCAGAGTATGTTCGGGTTCCCTCCATTCTAGGAATTTTAAAACCAATACTTACGCACGGTACAGCACAAATGGTTGTACACGTTCGTATGTGTGTCCTCTGCAAAGTTGGGACTGGTTCAGTTTCAGCTGAGTGTGTAGAAAGATGACGAAGCTGGAAAGATAGGCTGCCGGTTACATTGCTTTTTGCATCTACACCAACTTTATCTTTTATTCATCTCTGATACAGACCGAATTGCTTAAGTAACATGCCAGTACTAATGTTGCATCTCGTTTTGGTAATTGATAGTGATATATTAATACTATTATTTGTATAGTTAATTTAGCAGTTTTCTAGTAAAAATGTTTTCACCTTGTTATATGAATTCCTAGATGGGAAGTTCAGCCTCTCTCCTATGTAAATAATTATAAGGTATTAGACAGCCACTACCTATAGATGTCTCTGTAAGCTGTTTCGAGGTATTCTAGTAGGCTTGGGCAACGCTAAATTCTGATGTGGCTCACTGTACATCCCCCAACATTTTGTAATAATGCAGCATTAGTGAAGATGTTCTGATATGGTGTCGCTACTGTCCGCATGTCTTACTTCTCATGATCTTAACAGAAGTTTCACTGCAGTGAAACACTCACCTTTGCCAGAGTAGTTTTGGCAGTGGATGTTGCTACAGTATTTGTTTCTCCATACTTTAAACTGACAACATGTATTCAAAAATCTATAAAATACATCAATTGCTATCCTAACTTTACTCTTTCAAGTTGCTGCTCCAGTTATCACTGTAAGCTGTATTTTGTTTGACAAATGCACATAAAAGGATTTAGTGTGTATCAAGTAAAATTGCTATTCCCATGTGGTAGAATACATAGAAAAGTTTAAAGCCTCTGGAGAACAAAGGCTGAGCCATTGCTTTGGAGAAGGGCTAAGACTCTTCTTTCATGATGTTGTATTACCTCACATTCGCCACAGAAGAATCGTGATTTGCTAAAATCAAGTAAAATGTAAGCTGATACAATGCTGGATAATAAGTGGTGGAGATACACAAGGTCCACAATGTGGTTTTGTCCAGCCTCCTGGGGTTGTCAAGTTCTGTAGAGCTTGCCCCAAGTCTGTTATGTGAATATGTGTTGCTGCTCAGACCAACTGCAGTCTAGGATTGGGCTTTACTACTTTTATGGTTATTTATGATTGCAAATAACAGTGAAAGATTGAAGCCAAAATTGCTGTTCCTTACAGTGTTTTAAGTTTGGACCCTGGTGGTTCGTTATGACTTTGTTTTCTTGGGATTCATCAATAATGTATTACTGCATGGTTTGATTAAAATCAATTTCTTTTCACAGACAAGTAAACAATGAAGTGATTGATGCCTACTCACAAAAAATGACTCATGAGTTACCTAGATCAATATGTTGTAAAACTGTATGCTGCTGAATTATTTTTAGGAAGAAGAGGGTGAATTAGTACATGCAGCAACTGCATGAATATTTATGTTAATTTTTTTACAAAAGCCCTTACATTACAACAATATTGGGCTTTCAAAGTGAAGTACTAAAAAGTGTGAAATGCGTGCTAGTTTCCCAGGTATTTTAAGTTCACTCACTAGAGCTGCTGAATTTTGATTTTGTTTTATTTGTTTGTTGTGAGGTGCCGTACTTAATTTTTATACACCTTTCAGACAGTGCTGAAGCAGATTTTTGTTTTATGTTTCAATTGTATATACACAGCTGCTATTAGCAGCGCCCAGTAGCTTCCCAAATGCAAATGTTTCTATACTTGCAACATGCCTATGAGGTTAAGTATTTTGACCTCTGCTTTACCCATGCCGAGTTGAGGCATGGAAAGATTAAGTACCTTACTCAAAGCTGTTCAGGAAATCTGTGGGAGAGGTAGTTATGATACCAACAGCGTCTCTGTAGTAGTTCTGTTTCATGGTCGTAAAATCATCTTCCTTCTGTGGCTACACTTTTGCCTCATTCATTCTCTATTACTACTTCTCTCACAGTAATTATGAGAGAAATTGATATGGTCATCTCTCTGTATTCAATCTATATTGAAACTCATAATGCACCATGTAATAGTTACGGATAAAAAGGAGTACAAAAACTGGACTCGAGCCTGAAATCGTTACACAGCTCTCCAATTCCCACATTCACAATGAAAAAAGGAGCAGTACTTCAGAAAAATGTATTACATGGCAGTCTTAAAATACATTGTAACTCGGAAGTGGTGAGGCTCCAAAGTGATAGTGTTGTATTTACTAATTTTTAGTATTTGATTAAGGGGTCTTTGAAAATTTAAGTTCCTGCAATGCAGTGTTTTTTCAAGCTGTTCTCTTAATTTTTAAAACGTAAGCAGGAAAGGGCTGCCCTTATATTAATCTCTTGCTGTAAATACCATGTATGCGATACAGGCAGTAAAGCAGGAACCACTGGCATGTCCTGTATCAGAACTGGTGTTTTATGGAAGAAGTCTCCTGCAGAGAGTTGAATCTTTCTGTCTGCGACATGCTGCTTTTTTCCTCATGCAAGTCTGCTTATCTTAGGGCAAGGCATAGCCCAGCTTACAAGCATTCCTGAGAAATGAACGCATGTGCAGGATCAATGGAATGGTGGCATACCACTAACAGTTCATGTTACAGAACCCATTTTGTAGAACACACGTTTTTATGGACAAAGTTGCAACCTGTCTTTGCAACCTGCCAAAGGGCATATCTTTGATGTAGACCTGATATGTCAACTTTGTACTTTGCAGCAGACTACAGCAGTGCTTATGTATGACCTCGGCATTA